ACTACTAAAAGCAACAGCATCTAAAGTCGGCTCAATGACTGTACGACATTCACCATCCTACAGCAGCAACAGTCAAGGAAGCGTTGAGTGACTACATAGAACACTTCTCGGACAAATCCGCGTCGTCAAAGCTCAGGTTGAAAGCAACTACAGCATGACGATGTCCACAAAGCACTGTCTACTACCTTGGATAGTACGACATGCAGCATGGACGGTAAATCGCTACGTCATCCACTCCGACGGCTACACAAGCTTTGAACGCCGCTGGGGAAGAAACTACGAGCGAGCAATCTGCGAATTTGGCGAGACACTACTCTACCTTCCACCACAACACAAGAAACTTCCGAAAGCAGACCTACGGATGCAGAAATGCATCTGGCTCGGAAAAGTTTCCGAAACCGGAGAAAACTACGTCGCAAAACGGAATCAGGCGTACAAAAGGTATGAACAGTACGGAGACTACAGCCTGACTTCAAATACGACCTCGCACTGACGGAACACCTACAACCCATCCTTCGCAACACTGTTGGATACGCAACTACAACCGTTAAGATTTCGGACAACAAACGAACGCTACGGACGACATCGTTGCGGAACCCGCAACAAAACAACAACGCGCTACACCACCTCCACGACTTCCGTCCACATCGACGTCAAGTTCACGACCACTACTCGATAGCCCTATGGCTACTTCACCAACCGGACGACAACATCCACCACTACCAGCACCACCTCGACAAACGCTACGACGTTTAACTCCGGAAGAAGTAATGCAACCAACTAAAGCACAGAAGACCTCAAAGGACACTACAATCAGATCAACGGAGCAAGCAACCAAAGAACCACCACCACTACGACAGAAAATCAACGCAGTGACACTTCCCAACGGAAAATCCATCACTCCCTACACACACGACGACACCTCAGAAGACCAACCCATAATCTTCGACAACGAAGGTTACGACGAAACACAACTACTGGAAGGAATGAAACACGAGTCAAATCAAATGAAGCTACATGACGTATACGACGAAGTAGATGCGTCTACCGTCGACGACAACGTCATAAGAGAAGCGATACCTACTAGATGGGTACACAGGAAGAAAGGACCAGGAGTGCGAAGTCGAATCGTCGCAAAAGGCTACACCGAGAAAATCGAGGACGAAGACTCCGTCTACGCCTCTACACCAATGTTCACGACACTCCGGACACTTCTCGCACTACAAATGTCACGACCAAACTGGATCGCGCGACTAGGTGACGTCTCTACAGCATTTCTACACGCACCCATCGCAAAAGACCACGACGGTAAACAACGTGACGTCTACCTTTGGCCACCTACAGAACTTTGTCCACAACAGGACAAAATCTGGCGACTAAAGAAAGCCATGTATGGACTACGCAGTTCACCAAAAGCATGGCAGGACTACCTGGCTGAAGTGTTACAAAAGCTCAGCTTTGTAAGACTAAAGTCAGAACCTAACGTCTACACCAATGCGACTCGCGACTGCTACATCATGGTCTACGTGGACGATCTACTAGTACTTGGAGACAAGACCGCAGTCGACTCCACTTTCGAGGCCGTCCAGAAGCAGGTACTACTCAAGCACATCGGCTACCTCGAACCTGGCAAACCACAACAATTTCTTGGAAGAAACATCGCCCACTTCGGCAACTACTGCAATCTTGGACTAAAGGACTCCTACATCGACAACATGATCGAGGAGTCTGGAATGAACAACTGCAACTCAGTAAACACTCCAGGAATTGCACACTACAAACCAACAATAGAAGATGAAGCACTACTTGACCACGAACAACACAAAAGGTACAGAAGACTTGTTGGCAAACTTCAATGGTTAGCATACACACGACCAGACATTGCATACTCCACAAGAGAACTAGCACGAGACCTCACAGCACCTACAGAACTTTCGCAAAAGAGAGTCAAACATCTACTACGCTACTTGTACGGCACCAAGCACTACAAATTCACCATAGAACCAACAACAACACTCAGAGCAAACGACGTTCATGTCGATGCCGACTGGGCAGGATGCCCTACTACCAGGAAATCAACTTCAGGTTTCAACATCATCTTTCTAGGAACAACAGTTGCATTTGGCAGCAGAACACAAGCTACAATAGCACTTAGCTCAGCAGAGTCTGAACTCTACGCCATTTGCACAGGAGTTAATGAGGGACTACACCTCAGAAACTTCCTACTTGAAACCAACATTTGCAGCAAGCTAAACCTACGCATCCACAACTGACGCTCCACAGCTTCGCAAGAGCATTGCTACACAACAAGGCACCTGATACGAGCAAAACACATCGACTTAAATTTCTCATACACACCAAGACCTCATCAATCACGACATCATCAGAATCCTCAAAATCAACACACTACACAACAGCTCAGACTTGTTCACAAAATACATCAGCAAAGAAACACTACAGAGGCTCATACAGAGCATTGGCATACGCGTTTAGCACTACGAACAACAACTGTTTCACAACTATTTCACATCAACCACAACAGTTTGTATATGGCCATATGTAACTACCTGCATGTAAGTAATAGTAACAGTAACTACAAGTCACAGTAATTGTAACCACCAGTAATTTGCACTCACACGCTTTGGCGGTTTTGGCGGCTTGGGACAACATTACATGTTGTTTTGTTTTACTACACTCCCGCATGTGTTTTTGTGAGCTACCATTTGGCTCACTACTTTGCCCCGTCTCACTTCGTTTGTTTGATCGCACTACCAGCAATGTCTGGACCCATGGATGTGACTACGACCGCGCCTGAGACTACTGTGCCAGCACAGGAGATTGGCACTACTACACCTGACCGAGTTTCGACACCACCCAACCAACCTTCCACTACAGATGCCAGCAGCATGGTCTCTGTGGCACCTCCGCCACCTGAGGCCTACAATGCCCTCAACTACCACTTCAACCACCAACTACCAACCAATGCACCATTTTACAGGCCCGATGACATCCTGAACCACCTCACTACTGTCGAGTACGACAGTATCCACACTCCGACTGTGGATCAGGGGCGAAACTACGCCGGGGGCTGACCTTGGAGGAGTATCAACTACTCAGCCAACAACAGACTACACCAATGCCAGACCTCGACTACCAACTACCCATCCACAACCTGCCATCAGACCTACGAGAATTGCCCCTTCTACGATATTTCATTACCATCAGCCTAGCTTTTCAGAAGCGGTTCAACTTTTTTTTTACTACAACTTGACTTAAATTCACATCACCACATCGCACCCAACCACTCCATGTTCATCGTTCGACTTCATCTTCACTCAACGAAATTTTGCTACACTAATCAGCAGCGGCCACATCATCAACTTTTCTGGGACTACCTTGAGGTCACATGGTCGTCAATCATTGGCAACTTCACCTGACCCATCGGCAAACTACCCCACGACTTCAAGGAAAGACTAAGACTTTGACAAGATCACCAACACCTTCATCCTGTCCAACAACTAATCTGGAACTTACCAACATTGCCTCTTTTCACCTTTCTGAATTACTCAGCTTACTACGGACCATCCACTACAACTTAAGGATCACCACTACAAAGCAATCAACACCATCATGCACAAGAGTTCCACGTACTACGGCTTCACACTACTCACTGCCACAAATCTTCCCATGCAACACAAACTACTACTACACAAACTCCTCACTACATTTCAACAACCACTCCCACCTCCAGAGATCAACTACACTTGTCTTCGAGGAGGCCCTGAATTCCTTACTACCTTCACTACCAACCACTACGCCAGCCTTGACCACCGCGCTGGTCAGCAACAAGGCTACAGAGTCCAGCATTGGACTAAGCACACCTAACTACAGGTGATGCTACATCAGTGAAGCAGCACCACAGCTTCACTACAACTTTGGACCTCCATGTCCAAACTACATCAGGATGTATCTCATGAACTCCACTCAGTACCACTACTGAGGCCTGAACAGGAGAGCTACTGAGAGCAGCCTGTACGTACTACAGCTTTTTTGATCTTTGAGAGTCAGCGGACTACAGCCAGCAGAGTTGTAGTTATACTACTTTCGATCCTTTTGCAGTCAAAACTACTTTGAGCCCTTTGCACTTTTTCCCCTTTCTGGATATGGTTGAAAAGACACTACAGGGTCTTTTAACCAAGGGGCCGTGTCAAATATCATGCTGTACTACTTGTCCCTTGTACATGCATGATGTACACTACTCGACCGCAGGCCTTGAGTCTACAAGCAAAAGAGCGCATGCTGGGAAACTACATTTGTGTTTGTGACAGCATAAACAACACTTGCACTTGTAGTAAAGTAACGACGTATTTTCACGTCTCTCTCTCTCTCTCTCTCCCGGCCATGGCAGGATCAGAACAAGGGCAGACGAGGAGCAAGGAGCAAGGAAGCACTGGAGCCAGACAGCTTCAAATGTGGGGTTGGTTGTGACAAGAAAATGAACAAACTGAACAAACTGAAAAACTTGAAAAAATGAAAAACAAAGGATTCTGAGGGACATGAGGGCTGCCCTCCCAGCCATGTCCCCCCAATTTTTCAGTTTTTGAGTTTTTCAGTTGTTGTTTTAGTGTTTTAGTTTTCCTGGGTATCTGCCTTGAATAGCCTTATGCCAGCATAGTGCTTGGCAGATGAGAGGCTTTTACAGATGCAGAAAGAGGGCCTGCAAAATGAGTGTTCTGGCAGATGCATGTTTTGTCAGAGGGGGGGGTACCATATATATATATATATATGTATATATGTACATATATATATATATATATATTTACCTATATGTATTTTCTGCATGTATACACATATATATATGTATATATACATACATATCTATGTATGCAGATGTATGTATATATACAAAATATGTATATGAGGCGATTTATCCTCTTTTTGTGTATGAATCCTGGGAGCAAGCCAGCAAAAGGCTTGGCTCAAAGTAGCGCTTTGCCCAGGCGTGGCTGTTTTGGGCCCGGATGAGGCGCACAGCCAACTCGGAGCGGGTCGGTTCGGGCGTGTCGTTTGGAGTACGGAGCTCAGTTGCGGGGAGCCAGAGAAAGTGGGAAGCCACGTTTTCCCCTCTTACGAGGGAAAACAGTAGATATGAGTATCTGAGTATTTGGACAGAACAATGGGTAGCGTTTGGTAGTATTCAGGTCGCCTTGGGGTTGAGTTTCGTTCAGGAACCTGTCCGCTACTCAAATATACATATATGCATACATGTTCATATATACACTCATACATATTCATATATACACTCATCATTACATGTGCATATGAGCCGTGAGCGAGAGAGATGGAGAGAGAAAGAGTCAGCGAGATCGCGAGAGCGAAAGAGTCATGTCAATGAATTGTAAAGAAGGTTACTGGGTCCACACTCTCTTCCGTCCCGCGTAGAAACTCCCGCCCCAATGTAGAGATTTGGGTCAAATATATTGCAGGACCAATGGCAAAGCGATGGCAGTCGCGAGGTTCCAAACGGAATGTGAGCCACATGCTCAAAACCTGGGTAGATGATCCGGTTGGTAAATCATAAATAGCAGGGGATATCCGGGGATATCCGCCTTCTTGATTCTTGAGGCATAGTTCTGGGTCGACCATTTTGATATTGGGTTTGATTCTGACTCATGTGCCTGTGGGGTAAGGAGTCGGCGGACACCTACTTCATGCGCCACGTAGGGGCCAGACTTGCGCCCAATTCGAACGGCGGCTTGCCACTGGGGCAAGAGAAGGCACAGCCCAGTCGGAGAAATATGCTGCTCTGGCTCTTTACGTTCCATCCCCGCCAACAAAAAAAAGGTTTTGTGTAAAAAGTGCCTGTTGGTGTGTCCCCTTGGTCTCCCTTTTCTGCACCACCCAAAGGAAGGTGCCCTCGCAAAAAGCGGGGAGCCCTTGCGGGCCTTGTGGTTCCCTTTGAACCACACCCAGAAAGGTTAGCCTCAAAAAGACACACACACACACACCCTTAGAGAACTCCCCCCCCCAAAATTAAAGGAATAAAATAAATAAAATAACAGAACAACAACAAAAGACAGCAACAAACAAACAGACGCATTCCCGGCTGCGAGACCCTCCCCCGCTTTCCCGCTTTCGGGCGTAGGCCGTCGCAGCGGTGGTGCTGGAGCCTTTCGCGCTGGGAGACGAACTGCCCTGGCTGAAGGCGCCGAAATTGGAACAAATAGACTAGGTCCTCCGGCTAGGCGCCCTTTCTTTCACCCCAACTTTTTTGGTTGGGAGGGTTCCCCTACTAAAATAGACTACAGAAAAAAGTTGGTAGCCTTATTCTAACCTCTCCAATCTGGAGGACCTAGTAGAGCAGCGCCCAAACGGCTGTGGCTCAAAAAGCCGTACGTGGCACCTCGGTTTTTCTTTGAACCAAAGACAACCTGCGCAAGCATAGCTCTTGGAATTTGGGCAGCGCCCAAATCTAGACTCTTGCTGGTGCCCAGTAGGTGGGAAGGAAGGCATTCCCGAAGAAAGGAAACCACCAGTTGGAATTAGGATCATTCCCTCATTCCCTGGGGAGCACCGGCAAGCGCTGAACACCAAAAAAGAAAGACACCGGCTCTGTTTCATAGTCAAGCTTGTAGGCAAGAGTATCGGATGAGAGCCCTCCCTTCGTTTGGCTGATTTCCTTATCCTCAAACAGGTGTCCAGCAATACTGTGGATGGACGAACCATTTTTTTCGCACCACTTTGGAAACCACAGTTGACATCACAACATTTGTTGGTATTTACGTTGGGGAATGGAATCATTCCAGGGTTTCTTAGGTGGTGCAGGATTTCGTCCATCCCCAGTATCACAACCACACAGCGGATTGAACGGTCACCACACCCGTAAGACCAAGTACTTAGTAGTTGTTGGACATTTCCTGCCTTGGGACAATTCTTTACAAGGTTTTGGAGTGAGGCTTTTAGTGCCGGACTTCGGCTTTGTTTAATCATCAGTCAGAATATTATAACGCTATATATTGTGTTCCATCCAGTAAGCACTCATATGGTTGTGGTTCAAAACCTAAGGTGCCTGTTTGTGGATGGTTACCACTCCACTGTTGTCTTTTTAGAAGGCTTTCTGGGTGTTCATCGGGGCTTATGGGTTTTGACCCATAGCCCATATGTAGTCTTACACTCATATTGTGGATGAACGAAATCCTGCACCACTTTAAGGCCATGGGACACCATTGCTTGTATTTGTGGGGGGAATCATCCTTCCAGAGTTTCTTAGGTGCGAAATGGATTTCGCAGCCATCCCCAGTCTTATCCTTTTGGTTTCATCGCCGTGTCTCGTCGCGGTTGGGCCACCGAGCCCATCTCTCTCTCTCTCTCTCTCTCTCTCTCTCTCTCTCTCTCTCTCTCTCTCGGAGGCCTTCCGCTGTCTGCCGGGCGGAGCCCACGTGCCGGCAGGCGGGCGTTTTGCTTCTTTTCGGGTTTGCTTTGAGGTCGCCCGCGAAGGATGCCGAGCAAATTGAGAACCACCAACCCCTTGAAAGAGGTTGTTTAAAGAGCCATATGGCTTGGGGCAAAATTGGGTTTTGTTCTTTTCCACCAACCCCTGAAAAGAGCTATGGGTTGCGAGCCAACTCGGGCTCAAAAAGCGACAAGGCCTGAGACGAGGGAAGCCCCGTGCGAAGGCTTCAAAGACTCCTGAGTGAAAGCCCAGAAACTACGATTCCTGAATCAGGTTGGGAAGGGTTTCAGTTTGCCACCAACTTTTCCCGCGACGAGGGTGAAAGATTAGGTTTTATCTGGACTCCAGCGGCTGCGGTGTTCTGTGGGCGAAGCAGAACAAGGGCAGGTGCAGGCGAGCGGCGGGAAGAGCATGAAAGACATCCACTGCCATCCCTCCGTGCTGCATGGAAACCCCACAAGCGCAGCAAAGCGACTGCCACAACAGCTTTCCCCCGGAAGAGAAGCTTGTTGTTTGGGTGAGACACTCTATGACCAGTGGCGGAGTACCTGGCACATGTGTGGTTTGAGGCTCATTTGGTCCAAAAAATGTGGGGGTTGCCCCGAAAGGCAGGGCTTCGGTCAGCTCCGCCCCCCCGCGCCCCCGAGCCACCCAGCTGCCCACGGTGGGGTAACGATCCTGGCGGTGCTGGTCGAGTGCCCGGACGCCCCGATTCGAGTCGAGTCCATGCGCCCGATGCTGGTGCCCGTTTTGGGGTTGAAGGGAACCCCCAATGGAAACCGAAGCCCATAGCTGCTCCCCGATTTTTGCCAGGGCACTTCTTTTTCGGGGTGGTGTTGAAGTGGTTTCAAAGAGAAACAAAAGGAGCAACCGCCTATTTTGGAGGGGTATGGCACTCCTTACACCAACATGGCACCCGATAAATCGAGGAATCTTTGAAGAGGAACTGGATCTTCCATGCAGCCTCCTGCAAATGCGATGTTTGCAGGACGAAGATAGTGACAGAATAGTGATCGCAGGGAAATGTAAAGACACACTTTTGGTATCACCCATGGCCACTGCCACCATACTGACTCAAGCAACGATATAAAGGTTCCTGCGTGCTTCCTTCGGGACACGAGAACTAGCGTGAATTCCAAACCTTGTGGGCCTCCAGAGTGGTTGGTGCAGACAATGTACGAAGTCTTAAAGCAACAGCCGAAGCTTTCGGTTAGTTTGTGGTCAACTTCCGGTCGATGTTTCTTGCACCAGGTCTCTTAGATTCCTAGCTTGCCCCATTGCCAGAGATCCATCCTTTCCAAGAACTTAGTGAATTGCGCTGGTTTGTTGGGCATGTCTATATGTTCCGGGCTGTGTTCAGTGAGCGCGCCGTCTTTCAAGCGCGGCTCCCCGTGGATGTGGACCTGCTCGATGAGGGAAGGGGATACGCCTCGAAACCTGAAATGGGACGCGGACCCGAAAAGCTGGCAAGAAAGTCGGTTCTCTTTTGGTCAGTAGAAAACCAACTGACAGGCCAGTTTCGAATTCAAGCTGACATCACTGCATTTGGCATCCCCCTGGAAGAGGTTTCGCCTCTAGCGGCATCTGTGACTAGTGAGAGATCGGCCTTCCCGGAGGTTTCCCAAATTTTCGCAGCTGACCATGGCGACCGGTTCTCTGTTGGTTTCCTTTCATGGGGCCAACTCGACTCGGATTGAAAGAACCACGGATGAGGCTTGAAGCTTCCTTTCTGGGGAGTTCCGTGATTCGGTGGGCGAGTTACGATTTGATGACTGCCCGTATCATGAAGAAGCGGCAGGCAAACGGCAGGGACTTGCTTTGGCTCAACGGGTTTCCGCTCAGCCTCTTGCTTTTGAAGGGGAGCAGCGGGTCCCAGCATCCCATCTTACGCACTGCAAGTCATTTGTGCAGGGGATTCCTAGTTTGCAACGTGGGAATTATGTCGTTGACCCAGGCTGAATAAGCTTTGCACCCCTGATTTAATTTTTCGGGGTGTCCCACTTAAGACGGGATTCTTCACATTTTGGGCAAGCACCCCTATGAATTCACCCGGTTGGCAATTTGTGCAGACAAATCGACATGGGTCTGCCTCAAAGCCTCAAAATAGGAGGACCCCCAAAGCCAGGAAAATTCCTTTCGACTGACCTTAAGAACCATCGACGGTCCCACAATTTCGAGAGAAGACCCACATGCAAACAGATCGGGGTTAGTCCGTGAGCCCATGCGGGTGCGCAGCTTCGCGGGCTTGGTCGCGGCGTTTCTCGCTCTCGCGCTCCTCAGCGCAGAGGGGTTTGGGGCATGGAAGAGATGCGCAGTTCTGTCACATCTTTCAACCATCGCTTTTTGGTTGCAGGAAATGCTTGGGCAGAAATCAAATCGCGAGCAAGGGGCGTCAAAGTCGTGACGAAATGCAAAGAGTTTCAGCCTTCAGGTAACCCCTAGTTAGCACCATACCACCGATTGGGGTCCCAACTTCTTGCCGGAAGCCCCAAACTTTTTGCCGGGAGCCGTGGGTGTTCCGATGGGGGCTCAAGTCGGACATGCGGCGACTCACGGCAGGTCCCGCAACAAACACGTGGGGACAGACCCCGCTCCCGTTTCCTTCCCCGCAAATTAACATGGAACCCCAAACAAAGGTTCCCTCAAACGGTGGTTCCTCTCAAACATATATATATATATATATGTATATATATATATATATATGTATATATATATATGTATATATATATATATATGTATATATATATATATATGTATATATATATATATATGTATGTTTATAAACGGGGTTTCATGTTAATCTGCAGCAGGGTATCCAGAAGCTTGCTCACATTCTTCGACTCCGAGCCTGTCAAAAAAAAAACACCTTTCCGGCTTCAGAATGCTGACTTTGGATTTGTACACAGGACCCCAGATAACATAGATGTTTTCCTTTAATGGGGAACCCTGTTCCGGACGATCGTCCAGTTGCTTGCTTATGTCCTTCGACTCTACGGGTCCGAGTCCTTCTGATATTGTGACCCGCACACACACACACACACAGGAAGCCTAGCAGGAGGCATTCCAACCACTCAAGGAGCCCTTTTGGTTCTTGACTTTTGGTCAGACTCCAGGTTGTTGGTTAGTGCCCGGTCTTGGGGCTTTGGGATCGCAGGGTTCCGCCCACCCCGCCCTCGCAAAAAGCTCGCCCGTTTCAGGCTTTGCCGGGGCCGCGTTCTGACGACGCCCGGCTTCATGGCGCGAGGCTTCGGGTTCTTTTTGCCATAAGACAGGCAGAGGCTCGCAGGGATTTGGTTTGCGAGTTGGGTATGGGTCAAAATTAAACCAGGATATGGACCGCAGGTGAAACAGTCCTTGTTTTCAGTTCGGGTTCCATTTTGGGTACCACACCCGTTTAAGCAAGCCTCTTGCTTCTTGGTAAATATCATTTGTTAATCCCCTCCCCCTCCCAGCACCTAGCCTACACTTTTCCCCCACGAGGGTTACTATCCATTGACCTGGGCAAGTGACAACGACCTTGCTGAGGGTTCTTAACTCACCAAAGACGAAGCTTTTTGCGTTGGGATCCCATGTTTTCGGTGAGTGACCTATTCACATTCACTCATGTTTGAAGCTTCATTGCATTTACGGAATGACACCTCTGAAAAAGGGATCCTTTCAACAATATGCAATGGAGTGCTCAGTCTTTCCACCACAAATGCACAACTGTGTAAGTCAGAACGAGCTGAACCACGTTTTGGTCCACGCTCTTCCAACCACGCAAGGGGAAACACAGTTACATTTGGGACCCTTTTCGGCGAGCTAGAAAGCCAAAGAGGAAACCGCCATTGGGGTCTAAATCCTATTGTCATACACACCTATCCCTTCAGAATTCCTAGTGGGCTGAGGCTTGGAACACCTCCAAGAAAATGGACATATCCCAGTTTCCAAGTCATTTCCCCCCGAAAGCTTCCCCATGTTCATTGAAGCTTTCCGAGGGACGCAGACTTTGATGACGCAACGGAGAAGGATGCGACAAGGAGCCGGGTTGGGCCAACCCCTTGTAACATGTTGAAGCCACCATTTTTCTAGGGCTACCTTCATTTCCATTCTTTCCAGGGATCCTTCTTTCTAGAAAACCTCCGGGAACCCAGGGAAAACGGATCCGGTTTTTGGAAAGAACGATGGGTGAAAAGAATGGTTGTAATCAAACCCTATAATTTTTTGGTTTCCGCACATCTGCCCCGGACTCTCACTTGCCCCCACTCCGACCGTTTCTTGGCGTTTCCCCACCATCCTCGCGGGCGTTTTTGGATTTTGGTCTTTGGTTGGTTTAGTGGTGCCTTCCATTCAACCCACTAAAAGTTAAGCAGATCGCAGATCTGAGGGGAGCCAAGTTAAACAACCTCCCTTCAAAGGGGATGATGCCCTGGTTCTTTGAACAAACATGCCTAACCCTGAAGAGGAACTCGATCGTGCTCTTTTGCTCCGAGTTCTGTCCATGGTGCAAGAAAATCAACGTGCCTCGGCCTTTTGCAGCGTTGGGGTTCGGCTGCGGAGGGAGGTTGGTTGAAGCAAGCCTGGTGAGAGGTGTCAACGCAAGGGAGGGATTTGCTGTGTATCCCAGATGTTCGGTGGATTCCACCCTTAAAATTTTGTTTTTACTTGAATCGACCTTGAACAAGGTTTGACATGCTTTTCTTCCAGGGTCACTGGGCAGCTGGGGGTGGGTTGTGAAGGAGCATTGCTCGACATCAACCATGTGCAGAGCCCCCGAAAACACGTCTTTTGTAGCGCCTGAGATCCGAGGCACATTTTTGGTGAAGGGTTTTGAAGACTGCCCCGCCTGAAGTGTTTTGGTGTTTGCACCTCCTCTCGGAACGGAAAGACGGCTGGCGCAAAAAGGCGGTGCAGGCTGTCGGCAGGCGGAAGGAAGGCCTTGCGGAGTTTGGACCCTGGACTTGGTACTTGGGGGAAAAGGGGCCGGGCTAAAAATAGCCAATTTGGACGACTTGGCTTGCAAGTCAGTTTCTATCAGGTACCCCCTAGGGATTTAGATTGGTGGTTTGGGAATTTGGACCCCTGGTTCTTGTAGAGGGCAAATGGGAAACCACCAAGCCACCAAGCCACCAAGCCACCAAGCCACCAATCCAAACCACCAGCCAGTGGGAAGCTGATTTGTGGATTTCGCCTGTGAGCGAGATCAAGCAATGCGGCAGCACACTTTCACGAATGCCAGGCTGCCAGAATGGGCGATCTGTCGTCTGCTCACAAGGAATGCGAGCGTGCCCCCCAGAAGCTTGTCTGCCCAAACTATCACTTGGGTGCTCGCCCAATTTAGTAAGTTGTCGTCAGGTCAGAACCCACTTATAAGTCCATCTAAGTGGAGCTGGCCCTGTCAGTGGGCGACAACGCATGTGGCAGCCACTTACTAGCTTGTCTGAACGTCCAAGTGAATTCCTGTGAGTTTCTCATATGTCTTAGTGTCGTGGGAGAGGACGCCAATAGGTTTAGCCACAGGCATCCGACATCTCCGAGTTGCGCCTTAGGCCACCTGGACCCAGCTCATCGAGGCCTTCGGAGTGCATTCCGAGGCACGCGCCGGAGCGGGTTAAGCCTAGCCTCAGGCTGAGGATGGCACTAGAGTTGTTTAAAGGCAAGATTGTGCGCAGATGCGACCGAGCCAAAACAAAGGCGGAACCCCTAATTTGGAGTTGG